AACCTCTCAGGCAACAAGCAGAAACATTAAATATGCAGACCCCTGCATGCACTATGACAGGGATGCCCAACCTGCAGCACCTGTGCCACAACTGGCATGGGCAACCATTGTGTTGCACAGTAGCAGATAGGGCAGGAAGCAAAAAGCACAGCAGCAAATCAAGCAAAGGAAGGGGATCCACGCTGCAATCAGGGAGGATGCTAAGCTATGTTGGGGCAAGCCTGCCAAAAATGTTGGCCCCCACTGCAGCAGAAATCCTGCAGTAGCTTCATACACATTTGATGTTTTTATCTTATTAAACTGAGCAGTGATTTTTTTAAAAATGTTTTAATACTTTTAATGCCCAGCATTCCGCAGAAACCCAGCTTGATAAGCTGACTCTGTATCCCTTCTTCCTGCAGGGCTACTTCTACTCTTCTTCAGATGAAACAATATATTTTTTTTTTTTTAAAGGTTCAAACAAAATGTCACTCCGAGCAATTAGGAAAGATAAAGGAAAAACAGCTTCTTCCTGCTAATACAGCCAGTGGTACTGGTTGGTATCAGGCAAGCTGTCTTTGATACAAGTGCTAAAAAATCTTATCCCTCTACCCATATACAAGGCCAGGAAGGAGAAGCAATTTGTGGCATGTTTACAAATTTAAAAAACCCAAACTAACTCTGTAAACAAGGGGTCCAAACACCATCCATGACAACAGCGATTTTTGTGATGGCAAATGCCCATTAAAAATAATAATGAACAGATAAGCAGCCACTAGATGGAAATTTGGAGTCAATAGGGAACTATTGCTCTACATCACAGGCTAACTGGTAACCTGGAATGGAAATGTTTCATTTCCCAATGATTCTCCTCAGCTATGCTAATGATATTGTGTCCGATTTGAAATCAAAAGTAGCAAAAATTTCTTTTTGTGGATACAAGCAACAAAAAGGAAAATTTGGTTGCTTGTATCCAACCAAAGGCCATGCTTTTAGACTAATTTTATTCATTTTTAGTTTTTATACAATTTAAGAGAGTTAGCTATTCAGAGACTAATTCCAAGACAGCAAAAAGAAGTACAGAGTATAAGCCAAACTCAGACCTATCCCCAATATCAAACTTTCTATTAGATTCAAATTATTTTTTTAAGAAAAATCTTACCTTGCCTGTGCAGATACTTGTATTATAATTGTGTTCATGATCAAGGGCACAAATTCAGCCACTACATTATGAATGTTCAGTTTATACAGCTGAAATAATAAAGTTGGGGGGAAAAAAAATCTCACATTTGAGCTCATATTTCTTACAGCAATCAAAAATAAATAAATTTAAATAAATAAGAATTACAGTGGCTTTTGTCACAAGTTTTAACTAAACATCTTCATTTCTATACCTTGCTTAGGGTATCTGGACAGTTAAAGTATTCACAGTAAACACAATACTAACCTGATACATTAGAACAACAATAATGGGGAGTTCAGCCAGCACCTTCAAAGACAGAGAGCCTCTGGGAATTATAGAGTGCTGGACAAGAGAGAGAAAAAAAGGAAAATATTTAAAATACAGTATACTTTCAGAGGATGTGCTAGAAGTTTTGAAAAACAATCTCTATTAAATCCTGCCATTCACAAGAATGAACGTGACATTTAGGTAAATAACATATGTTCTAAGATATGTTGATATAAGAATGGTTTACTATTTGGACATTTTATATAGAGCTTTGATAGATAACCCCTAAAAAAAAAAAAAATAGAAAAAGTGGGCTATGCATTTTTCCCATATACAACTCTGCAACGATCCTGCTATTGGCATGCAATTTGAGACCCATTTCTTGGTTAGAGATAGTGTGACAGGACAGAAAGCCTTGCAAGTGCATGGAAGTCAGAGCTTCCATGTCACACCAGTTCAGCTCACCTTCCAAATGGAGGAAATAAACACAGGAGGCATGAAACAGGAAGGATGCAATTAAGAACCAGGTCTGGGCTGTGAGACATAAGAGCAGTCTGTGATTGCTGAGAGTGTGCAGGGATGGGAGTAAGCATTTCATTGAAAAAGTAGGGAAAACAATCTGGGAAGGACCAATCGTGGGCTAAGTAACCCTTCATAGCTTATAGACACAAGGAGAAAGCAAGCAAGAAAATGAGAATGTCAAGCCTGACTAACTAAGAAAAAACAAACAGAGGTAGCAAAGGACCCAAAATGAATAAGGCACAGATGGAAAAAAGAAAAGTGTACTAAACCACCTAGTTTATATAAGGAGCCACAACTCTCTAAGCATGGGATCCTATTCTACTTCAAACCTGTCCAAAACTCTTCCATCAGCTTCAGCAGGAGTTAAATGAGACCCTAAATTACCCAATGGGCCAACGGAGAATCTCTTTTTCTATTAGATTTATACTCAATATAAATAAGTATTTCTTGCTTTGGTCCTTTATGTAAGTTTGAAGTGGACATGGCTCTTATCTGTTCAGTTTTCAGTAAGATTTATTTGTAATATAAATGAGAATGCAGGCACATTTATTAAAAAACACCTAGACTACTCACTGTTCTTGTTTCGCTGTCCTCTCGTTCGGGATTTACTTTCACCGCGATGGTTGTAATCATGCCAACCATTTCTGGGGAAGGAACAGTGTTTTCTGGGATCACCTGAGGATTCTCAAAATATCGATTCTGAAGGCAAAAAAAGAGCAGAGGAAAATATTACGAAAAGCAATGATACTGTTAACACTTTAGAAAAGAGGGCATCTGCCATACTGGCGTTCTTCAAAATACTTATGTCCAAATGACCCCACTACAGATGAATTTGCTCTGCACATACAAGTCCAGAATTTTTAGCCAGTGCCTACTGAGGCAGGAGGCATCAGAAATATTTTTTTGCGTCCATAGTAGAATCTCTTGTAGCCACAGCTCTAAATGAAGACATGAAAAATCACTGCCCAACACTCTACAAGGGCTACAAAAACTGAGATTGCCCCTGTGAAACCTATGCCTTCAACTGCAGCACCTCCAAGGCACCCCAGCAATGGACACTGTTCTCTCCCTATTATGCTAAAAAGTGCTCATCTTCGAGGTGCTGAATGAAACAGCAACCTGATGCAATTACTTATTTTCCTCTCCTTTTCTAGGAAGAGGTAGGGCTTATGTCCCAACTGACGTACGCAGAAACTGAGCTCTAAGTAAAGACATGAACATTCATTGTGCTGCATATTCTAAAGATTATGAACGGAGGTTGGAGTCCAACCAAGACAGACTCCTACAGATGAACCCTGAGGACCCAAAGTTCAACTCTGACATGGTACACACACAGCAAGAAAGAACAAACAGAAATAAGAGGAAAGAGGGTCAGTCACACCAGTGCCAATATCAGCACACCCTTAGATAATTGAGGACAGCCTATTTCACTTGCTAAAAGAAAGGCTAAATTACCACATAAATTAAAAAGTATACCACTCTGAAAAGGGACTAAAACCAATGACGGTTTGATGGCAAACATCAAGGTATGTCCTATTAGACATGGAAAGTTTCAATCTCTTGTTACTATTGAAGTGTTATTTATCACACACGTTTGAAAACATGAGACTAAACTGTGGACTCACATATTTATCAGTAACCTAATTTTAGCACTATTGATTAAAACAGTAAACAGTCTACTAAATTTACTAGAACAAAATGAACTCTAGGTATTGAGAAATTAAGATTAGATTTGGGGTGTTCTTTAAGAGGCAAGGCCTACTATAAGCCCATGTTGCCAAAAAAAAGTCAGATAGTCTCCTTTGGAAGGAGGTCCAGAGGTCATTAAAGTTAATAAATATATATGCATACACATTATATTACATTACATAATATATAATGTAAGGTAATATATGCATGCTGTGTCTTGAGTACAGCATGAGACGAAAATGGTGGTTAATGAGAAAACAGGAGAACTCATTACAAGTCATTACACTCCCCCATACCCACCCCCATTTAAAAAGTAATATTCATTCCCTATAAAATTATTTTAATTTAAACAGCATCAATTTTATAACACTACAGTGCAACAATTATTTTAAGGCATTTTTGAATTAGCACTAGAGCAGAAAAGCAACTGCTTTTAGATAAGGACTATAGAGACTGAAATTGTGGAGATCAGGGAATAACACCAACCACAACTTTTGGAAGTTCCTTGTAAATCTGTTTCACAAAGTCCAAAAAGTGATGAATCTATAAAGGAAAGAATATTATATTTAGCACGGGGAAAAAATTGAGTTAATTACTCTAGGATCTTCGTATCAATACTATATAACTGTACGCAATTAGTCTTGAGCCAGTGTCCTTCAAGTTAACTATCAAGCTACTTAATGCCAACATTAATTTGAATGGTAGTAGACCATTAGAAAAATCCTGACTCAGCTTTCCTACAAGTATAATTCAGATATGCCACTACAAATATAATTATTCCATAACCATTAAAATCCTCTCAATGGTGGAACAGGAAGAGGAGACAATGGATAAAACTGCAATCTCTTTTTAACAGTGGTAAGGATATGAGGGGCAGGAGGTGGGGGGAGAGAGAGAAACCCACAGGTTTCTTTCTTGTTTCTGTCTCAATCTTTGTTTCAGACCTTCTTCCACACTCAGTCTAAAAAATGTGATTGTTCTCTCTCTTTTGGGGGTTTCCTACTACAATAGGATGGTGATTTTGGTTCTTCGTATGCTCCTTCATCTGTAACATTTTTGTCCTCCATCTCATTGTTTTGTCTGTGAATCCCACCCAGTGCAATATTTGCCCACCCTGCCTCCATGCCTGAATTTCTTGGGCTGTTCAACTCCTTCCATGGGCTTATTCCACTTCTATACTTTTCCTACTCCTGTGTATTTCCACACAGACTTCTGGCAGGAATAAAAGCATGAGATTGAGAGGTAGTAAAAGCTAGTCAGCTACACCTTCAAACTGTGCTTGGTTAAGAGAGGGTTTTTACTCCACCACAATAAGTGAGGTCATATGGCCCATAAGGTTTAAGAACAAAGCTGGTAAAGACCCAAACCATTATGATCCAGAACAGCACCACTGACAGTCATCATATAAAGCATTTTTAAATGCCTAACATACTGAAATTAATTACAATATTGTGTTATTCACTGACAGTAGAAAAGTTCCCATCAAATAAATCCCAGCTGTCCCACTTACAAGCCCTCCAGAGCTACACAACACCCAGGCTACATCAAGTCACAGAGGCAAGATATATAGCCACCAAGCTACACAGAAGCTGCCCCACTGCTATACCACACACCCTTCACTGCTGCACTGCATGTCCTTCCCATACCACAGCCCCCATTCCCCCACACCCATGTGCCCCGAGTCACCCTCAGCTCCCCATGCTGCTACTCTACCCTGACCACTGGGCCAGGGATGGAAATGGCACCACAGGAGGGAGGGGGAGCCTGGAGACTCCTGCTGCTGTTGCAGCCAAAAGATGGGAGGGAGCTGCAGCCAGGTGAGCCTGAGGCCTTAATTTAACTCCTTGCAGGCCATATGCAGCCTGCAGGCCACCAGTCAGACAGCCCAGAAATAAACCATAAGTGGAATCATTTCTGTACAACATAATAAAATACAACTTACTTCTTGGGTAATTGGTGGTCGAAATTGTTTGTGCAGTTCAATAATTATTCGCAAACAAATAAGTACATTCTCTTCATTCTCCGTCTGAAAAAAGTCTTTAATTAGCCCACTGCTGTATTTTTAGTCAATTTCATTACATATATTTTTTCTGTGCCTCTAATTTATCGTCAGTGACCTAGAAATTTCCTGCTAATATAAACTGCCACAAGGAAAATGCATCGTATTTGATATGTTGCTTGTCATAGCCAGTCTGCACACAGTCTGTGGGTGCAGCTACCGATTGCACTTAATGGAAATACAGATTCTGACAGAATTAGGGCCCATTTTGCAACCTCTTTGGGATCAGTATTTTGCAAAGTCCCACAGATAAACAGATGCTACTAAGGCTTTCATATGCAGGGTCTTTACAAACACACAGCTGTTTACATGACCCGAGGCTCAGCTCATCAATAAATTAGATTCTAGGCCAGCAAGAAACTGAAGCAAGAGCTTGAAGACAAGTGAATCAATAACTCAATTTGATGTTCCAAAGTCAGGCTAGAAAGTATTGTTTTGTGAGACCTTGCCCAGAGTAATCAAGAACTATTCTAGGTCTAACAAAATCCTAACAATTAAAAATTCTAATTCATAGCAAGATAAAATCCACAGTGATGTTTTGTATATTAAAACCAATGTGCTGCAAAGACAAACCAATTCCCTACACCAGAAGAGTTCTACATATAAACTGATCCTGAGCAGCACTCAAAATTCTATCCTTAATAGTTCTGGAGGTAAGGAGGAAAATAAATCTTTCTGAGAGTCAGAAATACATATTTAAAAGGATAACATTATTAAAAATACCTCTAAAAATCTAAACATCACAGACAAGATGTTTTTGGTATGGGGACGAAGATGTTCATTTGTTGGTATCCTGTGAATTATTTCAAGGACTAGCTTTCGGAGTTGCTGAAAGAAAAATATCAACACATCTTTAAAAGGAAAAACTTCATAAATCATAGAAAAGATAGGGCTAGAAGGAACCTCAAGAGGTCATCTACTTCAACTCTCTGCTCAAAGCAAGACCATCCCTGCCTAAAACATTCCAGACAAGTGTTTTAAAAACTACCAGGGATGGAGATTCCACAACTCTCTAGGCAGTTTATTCCAACGCTTAGCCACCCTCATAGTTAATAAGCTCTTCCTGATTTCCCAATATCTTAATATGAAATCTAAATTTCCCTTGTAACAATTTAAGATGATTATTTCTTGACCTGCCCCCTATAGCCACAGAGAACCATCTGTTATCCTCCTGTTTATAACCACGCTTAATTTAAAGACTACACAGTCTCCCTCCTCAGTCTTCTCTTCTCCAGGCCAAATGATTTCAGTTCTTCTAACCTTTTCTCATAAGCCATGGTCTCCAGGCCTCCAATTACTTCTAATGCTTTTTACTGGACCCCTTATTTGTCTACATCTGTCTTGAAGTGCAGTGCCCAAGACTGGACACAATATTTCAAGTGAGGCTTCACCAGTGCTTAAGAGTTGAAGACTCACTACACTTGACTTGTAAAATAAACCTTAGCCAGGAAAGTGTGACCTTTTTTGTTCAGCTCAATACTATTTTGCTGCATGCATGCACACTACTTCCCTCTAATATTTAGTGGGGTATGAGGCTCTAAATAACACAAATTTCAAATGTAGTTAAAGAACTGTATGCCTTCAAAGGAAAAATGGGAAGTTTTACTGCCAAATTGCTGATGCTCTGACATGTTAATGATTCATTTGTGGATATGTATTCCCATTACTGACTACAAAGAAAAGTATGTGTACTATACATTAATGTAAATATGTTCCATGTGTTTTCATTAGAAGTGCAAATTTACAAAACAGAATTGTTAACTTCATTTCTTAATTATCTTGCTAAGGGCAGGACATTCTTTTCCCAACTATGCCACACTACATAGATATATTTTTGACTTTCAGGCATATGGACAAGTAAATCTTCTAAATAAGAAAAAATATTATAATTGCTGAATTAACCCGTCTATAGCACACATTAAAATGGATAACTGATACTTTTGTGCAGGTACCTGTGCTGGTTTCTCCTGTAGAAACTGGACCTCTCCATCCTGCAGAAAGGTGAGAAATCTAGGGATGATGTGTTCCAGGAATGTAGAATATTGAGGGGACGATGTTACATTCTAATAATAAGAAAAATATAATTAATTACTTTGACCTGATGTCAAATTTTAAACAAGGCACACATAATATATACATGTTAGACAGGAACATGTACATGTTATGCATGTACATACAGGAACTATAAAATGCTAGCCACTGAAAGAGTTGGGAGAGGGAGTGTTAATCTTCAAAAACTGGTATCAGCTGCCTTCTGACAGAATATAAACATCATTATTAAAATGAGTAGAACTGAACACCTATCTTCCCCCTTGCTAACATGCTCCATGGTAAAGTTTCAACTATTGTTAAAACGCTCATTCATGTCTAGAAAACCTTCTCAAAGATAGTAACATTCATAGTATTTCAAATGCAAAGACTAACAGATGTTTCAAGATGCAATGGATTCATATATTCACTAACACTCTAATTCTCTGCAATATTCAAGGCTTTAAATGAACAAACCAATTCAAATTCCTATTACTTCTAGATACTGTATGTTAAAACAAAACATTCTCATTCTTTTTCAGCACAGAAACTAATCTCATGATTTTTTGCTTCAAAGATGCAGAGAGTGTTCACAAAGCAAAATTCTTCATTTGAGTGAGGCACCTAACTTAGAAGTGGAGTTTTAGTGATTCTGATGAATACTTGGAAACTCACAGCTACAGTCATTACAAGAATGTTTTCAGATTAATTTCTGCAGTGCCAGAAGTCTTATCTATACCTATCCCAAATGTTTGCGGTGTAGAAAATTCAGCATTTTACAGATGCATAGCTAAATATTTCAGCTGCATAGTCTCATTCTTCCTATACATACAAAGATAACAAGTTATGTACAATCATCTCCATTTCAATGCATGACTTCTTTAGATTATTTAACTATTAGCACTCACCGACCCAGTCAGACAAGGTCCCCACTGTACTAAACATTATGCAGATGTAAAAAAGACAGGCCCTACCCCAAAGAGTCTATTGATAGACACGAAAAGAGGAGCACAATAAAACATGCCAAATTTGATAGAGTTGAACAGGACACTATCAAAGGATACTTGGCAGCAACAACAGGAACTTCAGGTCTGCTGGGACCCCACTGCTGCTAACCAGGTTACTGCCTCCTCACCTCCCCAGCCCTAAGGTCTCTCCCTTCTGGTGATGCTTCTGACTCTCCAGCCCTGAAATGTGGGTGTGAGAATGTACCCTGTTCACTTCCAGCACTTTTCTAAGAGATCAGAAAAGGAAAAATCTAACTCTAACTCCTCAGATAGGCACTGCAAGCATGGTACTTTCTGGCCTCACAAATAAATACAAATTACCCCCATTTACAAACTCAGCTACTACTCTGCAAAAACTTCCCTAATCCCTTTACCTAGCAATAGAACGAGGAAGTAACAGCACTCTAGGCACTTTCAGAGTTGTCATTCTGAGCCAAGTATGCAAAAGGGAAACTCATAAGAACACAGTACGGTCCATTTCAGCCTCTTTCGGGTAGGAAGGAATATAAGCAGCAGCCAAAACTGAACACAGAGCTTTTAGAAAAAAAAAGTCAGAAACAGAAGCCAAGGACACAATTCTCTATTCCAGGGTGTCAAAGATATGGCCCGGCCTGTGGAGCTCCAAGAGCTGAACTTTGGGTCTCATACCCAACAGTAGCACGCACTGGCCCCAGTGCATGCAGTGCACAGGTCTGGCACACACTGTGTGCGGCACCTGCGCCAGACCAGCCCTGCGAGCTGGTTCTTGGGCTGGATCAGGCCCGCCAACCATCCAAGCACACCAGAGCCTGTACCTAGAGCCAATCTAGCACAAGCACCTCATGCAGTGTGCACCCTGTGCCAGGCCTGCACACACAAAACTGAGGCTCAGGGAGTCAAATTCATCCACCACTTAGCAGCCAGTTTGATATGAAAGACTGGGCTCCCCCGCAGAGCCCAGGAACAATGCGCCAGCTCAGGACAGTGCCCTGGTACAAAGCCCAGCAAATGAAACTGGCAAGAAGGATGAACTCCACACCAGGGAATTATCTTACACTTCACTTGTAGAGTCCTCCACACCCACCTATCTGATATGCTACCAACTACTTGAACCAGCTAGCATGCACCCGAAATTCTTGCCTTCCTGCTTTTCACAGCATAGACTATGGTAAGATTTTCACAAAGTAACTGATTTTGAAGCAGTGAGTGACACACGGTAAACTGAACACAGAACAACCTTTTGTGCATGTGCACCTTTGACGTCCCTGGATATGGATTTACAAAAAAAAAAAAGTCAGGCAATATTCCCACTACAGATTTTTGGCCACTTTAGAGGTTTGACTGCCCTGCTCTATACAAACTCTTCTGGCCACAACCAAACTCTTGACACGGCCAAGAGTAGCAGGAGACAACGTTTTTGAGATGCACATCATTGATACTGGGGCATGTGCATGTACCACCTCAGCTCAAATAGTAATTTATGGTTAAATCACCTCTTAAAGTAATAAAAGAGGTAAAGAAAAATCAAGAATAGAAATTAACAAAACAGTAAAAAAAAAGTCTGGTTTAACTATGTTTCTTTCTTCAGGAGTTGTATTTAAACTGCCCAGAAGCTGCTCTTTATCCATGGCCTGGCCACCTCTGGTACACAGCATTATCTTCTTTATGAAGTAGCTATATTAGCTTGAGTTGTGTTCCCTGAAGTTTGTACTTGGATAGAAAAATCACCAAGGAGAATCCAGGTGCAACAGGAAATAGGGCAGCAATACATTAAGCAGCAGCAAAGAGCACCATCTTGCTGGATGTATCTTTGGATAATGCATTCAGCTGAGATCCTAAACACTTGAAGTCATTAAACATCATCATCAGAATGGAGACCTGCATCTATAGCTCACAGATTAAACTCTATTTAACTAATGTACCAAAGATTTAGTTCTACTGGAAAAAATCCAACACAAAAACAAAATGTTCCATATTCTGGTACAATACCATGGAGTCACTTTTAACCAAACATCTCAGATGTATAGAATCATAGAAAGTGAGGGTTGGAAGGGACCTCAGGAGGTCATTTAGTCCAACCCCCTGATCAAAGCAGGACCAGCCTCAACTAGACAAAGCCCTCGCTGGGATGATCTAGCCGGGTCTTGAAAGCCTCCAGGGATGGAGAGTCCACCACCCCTCTGGGTAACTTGTTCTAATGTTTTACTACCCTCCTTGTGAGAAAATTTTTCCCAATATCGAACCTAAACTTGTTGCAACTTCAGACCATTGCTCCTTGTTGTGTCATCTGCCACCACTGGGAACAGTCCCGCTCCATCCTCTTTGGAACCATTCTTCAGCTAGTTAAAGGTTGCTATTAAATCCCCTCTCAGTCTTCTCTTCTCCAGACTAAATAAACCCAGATCCCTCAACCTCTCCTCACAAATCAAGTGCCCCAGCTCCCTAACCATTTTTGATGCCCTCCACTGGACTCTCTCCAATTTGTCCACATCCTTTCTGTAGTGGTGAGGCCCCAAAACTGGACACAGTTCTCCAGATGTGGCTCCAGCAGTGCTGAATAGGAATAATCACTTCCCTTGACCTGCTGGCAACATACCTACCAACACAGCCCAGGATGCCGTTAGCCTTCTTGGCAACAAGGGCACACTGCTGGCTCATATTCAGCTTATTGTTCACTGTAAAAGGAGCAAACATTCTGACTCTGGTAGGACTTGAGCCCATAGCCTATGAATGACCTTTTTACTGTAGAAGCCCGTGTTGTCCACTGCACCAGAGCCACCCTGATTCAGTGCAGTTCCCTTTGTAAATAATGCCATGTCATAAATAGGCAACCAGTACTGCACAGTTTCAAACATTGTATATTGCATTATATATTGTGCAGACACAATATACAATGCAACTGTAACTTCCATTAATATGCCTTTGTTTCTTCTTTTGCATCCCAGACAGACATATTATCTCCTCCTCCTTTAAAGTCTGGAAATCACTAACAACTGAAAGTAGTTTGTGCCACCACCTCTATTTCACTAGAGCCTCCAAAAAAAAAAAGCCATACTAGACAAACTCACCTTTCCTAACCATGACACTTCTCAAAGCAAATGCAAAGCAAGCTATACAGTCCACTACCAAATGACCATGAATTCAGTTAAAGAAAATGGTGTGGACTTTTGTTTAAAGTGCAGAGAAATAAATATTCACTATGTGTCACTTCTTCATAAAAATAACTTAAGAAATGTTAGAATAAAATGATTCTTTACATGCAAGAGAAAAGGGAAACAATAAGCTGAATAACTATTTTAGTAAGTTGTTGGTAGTGCACTGTAATAAATAAAATGAGGTTCTCTTACACATAGTAGCCATTCATAGTGGGTTCCATGTGCAAATAAAAACTAATCTCCTAAATGAAAGAACACCAGAAAGCAACATGGTGCACACAATCACAAGAAACAGTGCATTTAAAATCACTCAAACAGTGATTTTGTTTAATTACCTCAAAATTCTCACTGACTTCTTGCATCATTTTCAGTTTGGTTTCATCAGCTGAAAAAAATTTCAAGTGAAATCAATCAAATATTTGGAAAAAAAATTCTCAAACACACACCAAATTCACAATGGGAAGAAGCAATCAGATCTTATCAGTTCAGCTCTCATCGCCCAATTGAAAGGTACACAATTCTCACAATCACCACGCTCAGTCCCACCACTTCACACACACAAACACACACGCACACACTTTTCTCCAGGGCTCAAGCGACTTATGTTCATCATTTTGCTTCTTAAAAAAAGCCAGGCTCAAAGACGCCGCCAATGAACTCCAAGAGATTTTACCAACTCGATCAATACCATCACCTTCTCATGGGACACTTACATATAATTTGCATCCAAGGTCAAATTAGCCCAGACCAATTCCAAATCCAAGAGTCCAGAACCATAAGTGGCCCTAGTACCAGCATACAGAAAACTAGAACTCTTGGTTCTAAAATGATAACTTTTATTAGACCAACTGGAAAATCGTAAGAAAACTGTCCTTTTCTGCAAGCTTTTGAGAGTTTTTTCTATGTCTTCTTGTCTCAGACCAACACAGCTACCAAATACACCCCTACTACCGGCAAACATCTTCCACCCGCACCTTGGACTTCACATGTTTCCAAAACCTTTGGCGGACATCCTACATTCAGGCCCAAGCCCAGAGGCTTGGGGTTCAGATGCCCCTGAGTTTTGCTTGCCCTCAGCCATAAGGTCCTCAGAGCAAGCCAGGGAGGAGACTCCCATTCCCATGAACTGGGCTTAAAGCCGCTGCACCTCGACAGGCACTGAACCACTCCAGAAGAGCGGCTCTCCTGCGAGGCAGGGCAGGAAAACTGCCGTCAGGGACACAGATAGGTATTTCCCCTGCCAGGTTAAGAAGCCACAATGCAAGCCTTCGCAAGCGGTGAACGGTCCCGTTTCCTAAACGGACGGCAGACGAGCTTACGCGTGTTAATGTCCGTGAGAGCGGCCACAAACTGGAGGTATTTTTTCATCAGGGTGGTTTGGTCGACCACTGTGGGCCCTTGCGTCGACACGAACGCCATGGTCTCTCTCAGGGCCGGCAGGGGGTCCAGCGAGGACTGGCGCCAACGAAACCCAGCTCAAAAAAAAAAATGTTTTTGTTTAAATCAACTGCCTGTGAAGAGCAGACAGGGCTTTCACACCCGCCGAGGCCCGTCCCCTACAACCCGCATCCCCGCCCCGGCACCCTTCCGGGAAAGGCCGGGTTCATTTAAAGCGGATCACTCAGCCCAGCTGACCCGCCCACAGCCGGGACGAGGCCTGCGCTTTCCCCAGCTGCCCGCAGCACGGGCCGGGCCGGGCCTCGCGGCGCAGGGCTCCGATCCCAACGGTCTCCAACCCCCTCGCGGC